AACACTCATGTCCTCTCAGCTCATCTAAATGGGACTTCTAGAGAAATTATAAAATCCATTATAAAATCCTGGATTTTATAATGCCTCTCAGCAGGTAAAGAGAGGCAGCTGCATGGCCCTGTAACTGATAGCTCAACAAACACTGGGTTTTATCTGCTTTTACAATTTGCAAGGCTGTATAGTACAGTATTTCAGACAAGCAAAGAAGGAATTTCAGAATCCTTTTGTTTTTTTCAGACAGGGTCTCGCTCTGTTGTTCAGTCTGGAGCCCAGTGGTGCAATTTCAGCTCAGGGCATCTTCCACCAACCCCACCCCCTACTGAGGATGGCTCAAGGATAACAAACAATCCTCCCACCTCAGCTTCCCGAGTGGCTTGGATGCTGCCACCACGCCTGGCTAAATTTTGGTTTCTTGTTTTGTTTTTTTGTAGAGACAGAGTTTCCCAATGTTGCCCAGGTTGGTCTTGAACTCCTGGGCTCAAGCAATCTTCCCACTTCAGGTTCTCAAAGTGCTGGCATTACAGACATGAGCCAATGCACCTGACCTTGGAATTCTTTTATATCAAAGTTAACTTATTCATACATGATGAATGCAAGGCCTTATTAGGGACTAGCAAAATAAACCAAAGGATAGGAAAGAAAATCATACTGATTAATAAACATCAGACCTGTGTAACTGCCAAAAGCCTCACTTTTTCAGTTCTGTTATGCAACACAGACTCTTCGGATTTTATTTTAGTTTACCAGGCAGTAACAAAATCATCCGAGGACTTGCCCAAGATCATTCAAGATCATTCCAGAATCTAGTTCTGGAAAGGTGGCCATTCTTACTACTCACAAAGTAGAAAAAATGTGAATTAAGATTCCAGCAGCAACAAATGACTGGAGCACAAAACGTCAGCCACAGTTGGTGCTAAGCAGCTGGCTATCAGCTCCACTGGATGAAGCACTGTCCAACGGTCTGATCAGTGAAGCACCACCCGAAGAGACTGATGAACATATTTGATATAAGGGGACCCAAAGTTCCCTGAATCAAGACAGAAGAGCTGTGTCATGGTTTGCAAAGAAAGAGAAAGAGTAACTATTCTTACTCATGGAGAGAAAAAAAGGGGAGAAGGCCATCAATACTACCCTTAGAAACTGCTAAAAATGGGGGGAGGGAGGCGGAAGTATATATCCTATCATACTGATGTTTACTGAAGACTCCGCATCCCAAGTACTAAGCAAAATATTGTAGGGCCTTGCTACTCAGTGAGTGGTCTGCGGGTCAGAAGCTTCAGCCTCGTCTGGAAGCTGGTCAGGAACACAGTATCTCAGGACCCACGCCAGACCTACAGAATCAGAATCTCTAAGCGATTCGCGGGCACATCAAAGCGTGATGAGAGGCACGGCAGAATATCTCACTACATTCTCATGACAGCACCGTGAGACAAGTACTGTTACGATCTCCATTTCAAAGGAAAAATAAAAGGCTAGATAAGCCCCTTGCCAAAGGTCACAAAAGTCAGGAGCGGCGAGAATCACTGAAGTTCTCACCACAGCCAGGCCTGCGAGAGGTACTCGCAACCCCGGCCAAGAAGCGCTGAACAAGGCCTCGGTGCACGCCAGCCCTGTGCCGGCCGGCAGGGCAAGAGGCACAGGCCAAGGCCCAGGCCGGTCGTGAGCGCAGGAGGCGGCCGCCGCGACCTCTTGCCCGGCCGCCGCCACTCACCTGATCCTCTTGAAGGTAGGCGCCGCAACAACAAACCCGGGACTCCGTGAGTTGCGGCAACACGAACGCTCCTACAGCAACTCGTGCCTCACAGCCTCACTTCCGGCCAACTGTCCGCTACTTCCGCCTGCGGCGCGAGTGACGGGTGCGGCTGAGGCTCAAAAGACTCTGTCAGCGTTTTCCAAGGACATTTGCCGCTGGAGGACGTTGTTCAGGAGATTGGGGAAGTCTAGGACCTGCAGAGGGAAAACACCTTCCTGGATGCATCACTCTGAAAGTCATTCAGTAGCTTAGACCCAGCGCGGTGGCTCGCACCTGTAATCCCAGCACTTGGGAGGCCAAGGTGGGCGAATCAACTGAGGTCGGGATTTCGAGACTAGCCTGGCCAACACGGCGAAACTCTGTCTCTACTAAAAATACGAAGATTAGCCAGGCATGGTGGCGCACTCCTATAATCCAGTTCTTCAGGAGGTCGAGGCAGTAGAATCACTTAAACCCGGGAGGTGGAGGTTGCAGTGAGCCGAGATCGTGCCACTGCACTCCAGCCTGGGCAACAGAGCAAGACTCCATCTTCAGAAAAAAAAAAAAAGTAGCTTAGACACAGGTTCAAATCTGAGGATCACCACTCAGGGTTTTATGGCCTTGGGAAGTAACATAAATTCATTATATTATTATTATTAATTATTATTATTATTATTTTCATAGAGACAGGGGTGGCAGTGTTTTCCTATGTTTCCCAGGCTGGTTTCAAACTCCTGGGCTCATGCAATATTCCTGCCTCAGCCTCCTAAAGTGCTGGGATTACAGGTATGAGCCACTGTACCCAGCTCACATAAATTCTCTAAGCCTGTACAGTGAGAAAAACAATGCATGTATTTATTTATTTATTTTTTATTTATTTTGAGACAGAGTCTTGCTCCATTGCCCAGTTTGGAGTGCAATGGTGCAATCGTGGTTCACTGCAGCCTCAGCTTCCTGGGTTCAAGTGATTCTCCTGCCTCAGCCTCCTGAGTAGCTAAGACCACAGGCCTGCACCACCACACCTGGCTAATTTTAACAATGCATTGGCCAGGCGAGGTGGCTCATACCTGTAATTCCAGGTGTTCCAGACCAGCCTGGCCACTGTGGTGAAACCTCATCTCTACTAAAAATACCAAAAAAATTAGCTGGGCGTGTTGGCGGGCACCTGTAACCCCCAGCTACTCAGTAGGCTGAGGCAGGAGAATCACTTGAACACAGGAGGTGGAGGTTGCAGTGAGCTGAGATTGCACCACTGCACTTCAGCCCGGGTGACAGTGAGACTTCATCTTTAAAAAAAACCGCATTTATAATAGAGATGTATCTGTAAAGTGCTCTCAGGAAGAGAGCTAGTGACATGATGGATAGATGAGCCTGCTAAGAGAAATGGATGTTGAGCTGGAAGTTAGGGAGGCCAGAGCTATGGAGCATGAGCCAGGGCAATCCTCCACCTCCCTAAGAAGGAGGGCTAGGTAGCCGGGTGCAGTAGCTCACAACTGTAATCCCAGCACTTTGGGAGGCCAAGGCGGGCGGATCACCTGAGGTAGGGAATTCCAGACCAGCCTGACCAACATGGAGAAACCCCGTGTCTACTAAAAACACAAAATTAGCGGGGCATGGTGCCGCATGCCTGTAATCCCAGCTACTTGGGAGGCTGAGGCAGGAGAATTGCTTGAACCCGGGAGGCGGAGGTTGCGGTGAGCCAAGATCCTGCCATTGCACTCCAGTCTGGGCAACAAGAGCAAAACTCCATCTCAAAAACAAAAAAGGAGAGCTGGGTCCTACTGGGTACATATACTGACACAGCTGTCAGTATAGGCGTAGGTACCTAGACAAGAAAAAGACTCTACTCCAAAACCTAAAATGCAATAAAATAAATAAATGGGAAAAAAAA